TCCTGTACCCCATGCACTGGGAGCACGTACTGATCCCCACGCTGCCGCCGCATCTGCTAGACTACTGCTGGTGAGGGGCGGGGGCCGGGGAGCAGCAGGGCTTGGGGAAGAGGCCTGGGGTCCTGGAGACTGTGGGACGGCGCCTGCATGACTCTGTCCCCTCGGTCGTCTGCAGTGCGCCCATGCCCTACCTCATCGGAGTGCACTCCAGTCTCGCCGAGGTGAGTGGGAGCAGACCGGGATCGCAGCGGCGGACGGGATTCCCCTCCTCCTGCATCCCCAAATAACCGCCCCCGCCAGAGATCCTCGGGCTCTGAGCGGCCGTCCCCACCCCCACTCTCCGACGCAGAGAGTGCGGGAGAAAGCCCTGGAGGAGGTCGTGGTGATGAACGTGGACTCCAATACCTTGGAGACGCCCTTCGACGACGTGCAAGCGTTGCCCCCAGACGTGGTCAGTGTCACCCCCTTCTGTGCTCCTGCCGCGTCGCGGAGGCCAAGGCCCCACATCTGCCGGCTCACAGCCTCCCCTTGTCCCCCAGGTGTCCCTGCTGAGGCTTCGGCTAAGGAAGGTTGCGCTGGCGCCGGGGGAAGGGGTGTCCCGTCTCTTCCTCAAAGCCCAGGCCCTGCTCTTCGGGGGTTACCGCGATGCGCTCATCTGCAGCCCGGTGAGCAGCGGGGAGGCCAAGGGAGAGGTCTCCTGGGTCCCTGAAGGATTAATAATAATAATAATAATTAATGATAATAATACCTAGGCTTTATGGAGTGCTTACTCTGTGCCTCTGTTTGCTCATCTGCGAAATGGAATCCCACTAGTACCCACACAAAAGGGTCATGTGAGTCAGTGAATGGGCATATGCAAAATGTTTGGATAGTGCCTAGCACATCGGAAGCACTCGCTAAATGCTAGGTTTTACTGTCACTATATCTCGTTTAATGCTCACAACTGGATGGTGAGATAGATACCATTATGGTCCCATTTTACGTTTGCTACATGGACACGGGATAGAATAAGGGAGACAGCTGGGGTCCAGGAGAGCCACGGAAGTTCAGATCGGAAGTTCAAGGTCTTTCTTCTAGGGCCAGCCTGTGACCTTCAGCGAAGAAGCCTTCCTGGCCCAGAAGCCTGGGGCGCCCCTGCAGGCCTTCCATCAGCGGGCTGTGCACCTGCAGCTGTTCAAACAGGTGCGCCAGAACCCTGAGGGCGGGGCCGAGGCCGGGGGCGGGGCTAGGGCGGGGCTGGAGCGGAAAATCCTGGGTCCCTGGGGGGCGAGCCGGAGCTAGAGGGACGGAAGCCTGAGTCCTATAGGGGAGACTAGAGTCGCCCCGGCGGGGTCCCACCCTTCAAGGTCCCCGGGTGGGGGAGGCATGACTGCACTACCGTTTCCCTAAAGATAGGAGCCCCTGACGCCTGGCGGATAAGATCTGCTCCCAGGTTCCTGGGGAGATTGAGGTGGGACTAAATCCCTGGCTCCCTAAGGATGGAGCATCCGGGGCGGGAGTGAGGGTGTACGTGCGGGACTCTGAAAGGGGTGTGTCCCGAGTGTGCACTCCCCTTGCTGGGGAGGCGGCGGCCGAGGACTCCGGGGTTACAGGGACATGGGGGAGAAGTGGAGCCGGATTCCTGGGTTCTTGGGAGGTGGGTAGAACTCTGGGGTCCATCTGTGCGGGGATGGGTCCTCGGGTCCCTGAAGATGAGGTCGACTTCTTCCAGGATCACTGAAAGGAGTGGCGAGCCGGTCGGGAGTGTCAGAGTCCGACTTCCGGGTCCCTATGAGGGGCGGGGTCTGGTCCCCGACAGGTCCTGACTGGGGTGGCAGGGAGAGGGTTGGGCTTCTGGCTTCCTGAGGTGGCTCCAGACTCCAGAGTCCTAGGGGTGAGTCCCTGGAGGGGCCAGGGATGGCTTCTGCCTGTGTAGAGCCAGCAGAATCCTGAGTCCTCGAATTCAGATGTGTTGGTGGCAGCCCTTTCTGACCCTTCCCCCACCCCCAGTTCATCGAAGGCCGACTGGAGAAGCTGAACACAGGAGAGGGCTTCTCAGATCTCTTTGAGCAGGAGATCACCTGCAGCGACGCCTCCTCAGGTGAGCCCTGTGCCTAGGCCGAAGCCCCTGCCCCACCAGTACCCCAGCCTCAGCCCACCAGCCATGACCAGCTCTCCTCATTGCAGGCATTCTTCGCTCCTACCAGCTCTGGGCAGACAACCTAAAGGTAGTAACACCAAACACTTGTTTAGTGTTTATTATTGGATTAACTTAGCTCCGTAACAGTCTCCAGGGTCATCATTATGCACATTTATAAACAGAAGTGAAGAAATTGAGACTTGGCTAGGGAGAGGGGCTTGTCCAGCATCACACAGCTGCGGTGGGGAGGTGGAGTCTGGGGTAACCCCAGGGTACCAAGTCTCTCTCCCTTGCCATTCTCTCTCCCCAGAAAGGTGGTGGTGCCCTCCTGCATTCGGTCAAGGCCAAGACCCAACCGGCTGTCAAAAACATGTACCGCTCGGTGAGGCTACACTAGATAGGCCACTTACTGGACTTACAAAGACAAGGGGACAAGGCACATTTCAAACCCTCATGGGAGCAGGACATTTTAGCCCCCCATTTAAAGTGCAAACACTTTTATCAGAACCAAACCAGCATTAAACCATTAACAAGTCTTCCTGCTTTTATTCTCCATTTACCTACTCATTCTTGTCAGGATCACTGCTTCAGTATTTGAAAGTGACAACCCAGATTCGTTGGTGAACATGTTTTGTCCCCAGACTATTACAGTCCCAGAAGCTTCCTGTGGCCAACTTCTGCAGCTCCTCCGAACTTAGGTTTTATTCAGTTGCCTGGCTTTTGAATGCTGATACATTTTTACAATGTTCCGTTTTTGCCACTCCCCATTTCATTCAGTGGTTATAGTCCCCTAGGAATACTCCTTTTGTATTAGGCAAGGGGTGAGTTAGTGTTGACTTCTTACGTGGTGCGTGGAGAACTGTGACCGTCGGTGAGGCACAAATGTGAACAGATGGCAAGACAGTTGTCCTACGGGATGGAGAGCTGAGTTCTCAAATACTCAGGGTCAAATCACCGTGGAATCTAATTTTTTGGCTCCTCCATAGGCCAAGAGCGGCTTGAAGGGTGTGCAGAGCCTTCTGACGTACAAGGTAAGACCAGTGGCCAATGGCTGGGGCAATGAAGAAGGGACTCCTGGCTTACCCACCCTCTTCCTAGGATGGGAACTCTGGCCTGCAAAGGGGGGGTTCCCTGAGAGCCCTGTCCCTAACCAGCCGCTCAGATCGTCTGCAGCAGCGCCTGCCTATCACCCAGCACTTTGGAAAGGTAAATGTGGCAAACCACCCCCCCACACACACACACCCCACCGCAAATGCTCACACCTGGAATTACCACCTAGTCCTCCTCCCATTCTGTCTCCACCCAGACATCTCACTCACCTGCTCACCTACCCCAGTATCTGGTGCCCACTTAACACTCACCCTCCTCCAGAAACCGGATTCTGTCGTTCCTGAAGCCCCGCCCTCCAAATCTGTCCTTTGCAGAACCGGCCCCTTCGCCCCAGCAGGAGAAGGCGACTGGAGGAGAGACCTTCTGTGTCCCTGGAGGAGGGGTAAGGCTCAAAGGCTGGGGAGGCGGCAATGTTGGACGTGGGAGGCCAGGACTGATGGGGAGGATGGTCCCTAAACTCAAGAACCTCCAGAGCAGTCCAATCAGCACTGGGGGTCTTGGGCAGACATCTGAGGCTGCCCATCCTTACCCAGGGCACCTGCTCTGAGCCCTGAGGACGCCCAGGACCCATGGGCAGAGGAAGCTCTGGACAACAGTTTCCTGGGGTCCGGAGAAGAACTGGATTTGCTGAGTGAGATTCTGGACAGTCTGAGCATGGGAGCCAGCAGGGCGGGCAGCCTGCGGCCCAGCCAGAGCTTGGACTGCTGCCACAGAGGGGACCCGGACAGCTGCTTCAGCTTGGTGAGAGCCCCTAGTCCTCCCCCACTGGCCCATCTGACTTCCCAGTCCCTCCAGCATCTGAAGGCCAGCAACTTGCCCATCTCCCCACCCCTACCCAGCCTGACATACCAGGAAGATCAAGATGGCAACCAGACGAGGAAAAACCACCAGAGCCTCAGCCCCTGTCCCTACCTGCCGGGCACCTGCCGTCTCTGCAAACCCTCCAGCCTTTGGATGCCATGACCTCCTCAAAGGACCCTACTTCCCAGCCAGCCTTGGAGGCCAGCCAAGAAATCATCCCTCCACCCCGGTCCTCACCAGCTTCTGCGGACCCAAGCAGCCAAGGGGACCCCGAGTCCCATCTTCTAATCCTACATCTCTCCCCTTCCCCCAAGGCAGCTGAAGATCCCAGAGCCCAGGAGAGCCCCTGCGCCCAGCTCTCCACAGCACCCACCCACTCCAGCCCTCCAGAAAGTGTCCAACTTCTGGTCCCCACAAAGCCCAACTTGGATATTCCGTGGACATCCCAACCCCTTGATTCTTCCTCAGTTCCTGGTTCCCCAGAGAACCCCAGATCCCAGATCTCTGAGGTCCTGCTGGCAGAGGACGCTCCCTTCCAGCTCCCAGAGGGGCCAGGAGCCTTCAGATCCCCTGCTGCACCTGCCAACGACTGGCTGGAGCCCCAGGCTAGGAGCCGGCCCAGAGTCGCTGAGCTTAAAAAGTGTTTTGAAGGTTAAGAATCTGGGTTCTGGAGGAGACCCCACTCCTTCAATAAAGCACAAGAACCCAAAGCTGGTTTTCCTGGTGAGTTTATCTGGGGGCCCTCTCTCTGCTCAGAAACGTACCCCATCCACTACCTTCCTCCTGGGGCAGCCTCCAGCTGGCTCTCAAGTGCAGCTGGAAGCCCCTCCCTTCCAGGAAGCCCTCCCAGCCCTAGGATCCTCGCAACCTTACAATTCATCTCTCAACAGCCTGTGAGCCCTGAGTTTTTTCCCTCCATCTAGACTAATTCCTGCCCCCATCAGCTCAGAAAGAAAAAGGTTTTGTTACATCTCACTACTGACTGTATGTATATATATAAGATGTGAACAACACACTCTCCCTCACCCTCAGGGACACAGCCTTTAAAGCACCTTCTCCCCCTTCTATTCTTAAGCACTGGCTAGGTTTGATTGCCCAGAGAGGGCTCTGCCTTCCCCCAAGGTCACACAGCAAGGCAGATGGATAGAAAAGGGGACCTAGATGGGCAGGCAGCCCCGCACTGTCTCCTTGGAGTCCTGGGGAGCCCGGGCCTCGGCTGCGTGGTTGAACTGAAAGAAAGGAGAGGATCTGTCGGGCCTGTGTGGCAGCAGGACAGTTGGCCGAGCGAAGATGGGGCAGCAAGCGTGGAGGCGGGCCCCCAGCCCCGGCATCCCCAAATGCAGGCAGAGTCAAGCAGAGGCGGCATGCTTCACCGAGCCTGCCAGGCAGGTGCCCCGTGGCCTCCCCCCAAGTCCTCCTGGACCATCAGAGGCTGTTGTCTTGGTGGCAGCTGCTGTGTGTGAGTGAGCCCTGGGTCGTCCTAGGAAGTTGTGGCGGCTGCAGCAGGCCCCAGCATTCAGATGAGCCGCTCCTCGGGCGGCAGCTTGAGGTTGGGGGGTGGCGGCACACGGGCACCCACCTGCTCCTCGCTGCTGGGCCGGTAGGTGCCCTCTGTCTGCCTCTTCTCACGCAGTTTTTGCACCAGCAACACGAGCCCCACGGCCAGAAGCAGGGCGGCCAGGAGGGAGAAGACAACAATGATGGCAGTGATGGCCGCCTGAGACTGAAGGAGAGGGGACAGGTTGCCCACCTGAGCCAGGAGATTCTAAGTCCACCCTCACCTGAGAAGCATCCAGGGCTCCTCATGCCCCACCCCACAACCTGCCGCCCCACAACGCCTGCCACTTTTGGGAGTATGGTACCTCCACCCAGGATTCCTGACGCCCATCAATCACATGTGGGGCTCCCAGGCTCCCACCTGCCATGCCTGGGATCCCCCTCCCAAGCACCTGCCACCTCTGGGAGTCTGGGCCCCTTCACCTGCTTCATGTGGGATACCTGAGTAACATTGCTGTTGCCCTCCTCCTGCATAAAACCCCAACTCACCAGGGCCCCATTGGAGCCAGAGCCTGGGTCAGAGGGTGTAATGGTGCCGTTCTCATTTATAGGGGGGTCCTGCGCTGTGGGGGGGGGGTTAGAGAGGACACATTAATCCTTATCTATCCTTCCCATCTTGGCACAAATGCACCTTCCTTGGGCATCCCTCAGTTAGAACTCTGCTTTTCTGAGTCTTCCATTCTGCTAGACTGTGGGTGCCCTGCATGCAGGGGCTGGCCCAGTCATTTCTGCTCCTCTAGCCACCCCAACCCAGCAAAGCCCAGCAGGGAGCAATCAGCCTACAGTAGTTTGCAGTTTGTGCTGAGTTGGGGGTCTGCTATAATGGATGGTGTCTGGAAGCTGGACCCTGCCCTCCCCCCACCACCTCTCCAGCCCTCCCTCGGCCCTTAAGGATCTGGGTGGATCCTGTGTTTCCCTGGAGTGTCTGACTCACACCTCCCCCCCAGGCTCCAGAAACTGAAATAGAAGGACTGAATGGCTCGGTCCACACCTATGACCAGCCTGGTCAACCTGGGATCAGAGGCCTCCTCCCAGGCAGGCCTCCTCCTGGCTCCCAGTCCGCCCAAAACACTTCAACCACACTGAGACTCAGGTACACAGGCTCCTCTCCCCAGCCCACAATTCCGCCCTCCTCAGGAACTCAGGAATTCTACACCAACTCCAATCGTCCAGGGAAGCCCCTACCCCTGACCGACCCTGTAGACTCCTCTCAAGGTATCCCATGACCGCTCCCCAGTTCTTGACCTCTCCAGGGCCCAGGTAACCCGAGCTTCTAAGCCCCGCCCCGCGCCCCCCCCCCCAACCTCTAGCCGGTACCTACTTTGCCCCCAGGCCCGGCCCCAGCCGGCCGGCAGCAGCGGCAGGCCGAGCGCCAGAAGCAGCCCCAGGCCGGGGCTCGCCATGGGCCGGGCGACGAGCTGGTGGCACCGGGGACCGGGCTTCTCGCGCGCGCTGCTTCTACCGCATCTCGGGCCGGGGGTACCTGCGACCCGGCACCTGGGGCGGGAGAAAGAGAATGGCGTGGGGGAGGGGGCTAGACCCGGGCGCAGGCCCAGGGGAGGGATGACCGGCCCAGGGCACCCTGCAGTCCCGCCCCGCCCCCGCCGCCAGAGGTCAGAGATTAAAGATTAACTCGAGGCGGCGCGTTCCTGGGCTGGGGAAAGGGAAGGAGAAGGGGAAAGGGGTGGCAGGCCAAGCCGCGCGTCCTACCTCCCTACCTGGCCCAGCCGTCCTCGACCTTGCTCAGGTTCCCGGTCCGGGTCCCCGGCTCGAACCCTCGGTGCGTCCGTCGGTAGCTCGGACTCCTCCAGCTCCGCCCGCTCACGTGACCCGGAAAGTTTAGTCACTCACCTGGGAGGGGAGCACACTTCCGGCTTGTGCACCTGAGCCTAAGGGAGAGGGCGGAGCCAAACGGGGGTGGGACCGCGCCAGGGACGCACCTGTAACGGGAACCCAACTCTACAATACCGAAGAGTAAAAAGGGGCGCAAGCGCGCAGGTGTAAGAGGGACCTCCCACCTATATTGCGGGCACATCTGTAGGATAGCAGAAGTGTGGAGACAAACCGGGCAGGGAGACACTGGTGCATGGGGCACGCCTGTCTGGGGCAGGCCCGAATGGGTGGCCCTTGATAAAGACACACCCGTGTGGTACATACCTGCCTAGGAGCCAACCTGTATAGAAGACATTTGCGTGGATGTGTAAGAAGAACACCTATGGGAGACATCTGCATTGACACATCCATTTGGTGTATCGCTGAATGGAAGCATACCTGTGTGGAAAACAGCTGTATAGAACACACCTGCATTATAACAAACACCTGGCTGAGGCCCTCTGGTGTAGGATACATTTGCTTTGGAAACGCATCTGCATGGCTCACCCATGAAATGAACAACTCTTGTATGAGGAATTCCTGTGTGGAAATGTATTGGAAAGACCTGTACGAGACACACTTGCATTTTAGTACACCTTATAGGACCCAGGTATATGGAAACGTACCCAGACGGGTGTATACTTAACTGCAACATACCTCTGTGTGGCGGGCAGAGGGGAGCTGTACGATGCATTCCTGGGTGGATTTCTGTTGAGAAAGACACCTGTGCAATGAAGAAAATAGCCTCGTATGAGGAACATCTGCATGGAATTGAGATCGAATGAAAAAAAGACCTGAGAACATGTGCATGAGGCACACTCATACTGAAGCACCTGGGAGCTTCAGTGGGGGTGGTGGGCAGGACAGAGGCTCACGTGTATTGAGGCCCACCTGTCAGGGATGTATTTGTGAGAAAAGGCCTATTTGGGGCATTTCTCTGGGAAAACATCTGTATCCCCCATGTTGTGGGGCACCTGCAAGAAAGAAAACATCTGTGAGGGGCCATCTAAGAGGCCATCTGGACCACTGGCCACTAGGATCTCCCTAAGAGGCCATTTGTCTGGGACTCACAGGTGTGTTTGAGCACACCTGTCTGGGCAAAACTAAACGTGCCCTCACGGCTGTACTTTTCGATAAAGGACGGTGATAATAAGACTTCCACCCCCTGGGGACTCTAGGGTGAAGAGTAATGGTTAAGGGGAAATGAATCACTTTTAGAGTATAGAGCGATGGGTGAGAATTCCAGGTCTGGTTAAATCCCCGCTTTCCCGCTTACTGGGCATGTGGCCTGGGTAGAGCAGTTTAACCTTCTGTTTCCTCATCTGTGAAGTGGGAAAGCCAGTCCCACGTACCTTATAGGGTTTTGGCGAGGATGACGCGAGGCGTGAGTAAAAGGCCTGGATTGTGAAACGCCGTGAATCAATGTTAGTTATTGTTATTATTTTTCGCCAAGTGGTCTGGCCGCCCCTCCCCCTAATGGTGACTCGAGAAACTGCGCCCGAAATTAGTGGGAGGGACTTTCGGCAGGTGCAGCGAGCACGACAGGCTGGTGCCCCGCCTCCAGCGCTCGCCTTCCCGGTTTTCATCGGCACTCGCGCCCGCGACACTGAGATCCGCAGGTTGGTCTGGAGAGAGCAGTCAGCACAGCGACTGGATCAGGCCGCGGCCTCTTTAAGACTGCCCAGCCAGCCCGAAGCCGCCGGGGCCCAAGGCAGCGCAGGGTAGCCGCGGAAGCCCCGCCCAGGTGGGGCGGGCGGGCGCAGCTCAGGCAGCTCTGGCCAATAGGAAACCGACTTTGCGGCCGCGCCGCACGTTGATCTTCCGTTTCCCAGTCTGAGTGGGACCGAAAAGGAAGGCTCGCGGGCGGGATGTAGGGTTTCAGGGAGAAAGCACAGCTTCCTGATTTTCTGTTTCTGTGGCCGAGTGGGGAATGTGAAATGAGCGGGCGGGCAGATGGAGGGCTAGATGGCGTAAGGTTGGTTCTTGAGCATTATCTGGGAAAAACGAGAACTTTAGCGCCTAAAGAGAAATAGTAGGCGAGGGAGGCCAAGTGGAAAGGGATTACGAAACCAAATCCCTGATATCCCTCTACTGCGCGCCCTTGGACAGAGGGTAAACCGAGGCACGCAAGGCGGAACTCTGAAAGCAGAATTGAGACCATTGATCTCTCTAGCCCCCCTCCCCAGAATGAACTCGGGTGCTTCCTGTGCACTACCAAAGCATCCCGACATTCCGCCCCACACCCGCAGCTCCGCCTCCAGCCCCCTCTCCCCAAGCGGGTCGGGGGGGAGGAGACGCAAGTTCTGGCGCGGGCGGCGACGGCTAGCAGTCACCGCCTCCTACAAGTGCCAGAGCCAGGCGGGCAGCGCGGAGGCTGCGGTGGCAGTGGCCGCGGAGCTGGCCCTGCGGGGCCGCGGGGGGGAGGGGGAGCCGCGAAGCCCCCGCCGAGGCCGCCACCGCCGGGCCTCCCCTCCCCCCCCCGGACCGGCGCCATGCGGGGGGGCCCGGGCGATGCGGAGCGGCGGCAGCGCTGGGGTCGCCTCTTCGAGGAGCTGGATAGTAACAAGGATGGCCGCGTGGATGTGCGCGAGTTGCGCCAGGGACTGGCCCGGCTGGGCGGGGGCGACCCGGACCGCGACGCCCAACAGGTACCCCCGCCGGGACCCCAGCCTGGCGCGCGGCGCTCCGGCCCTGCGGGCGCCGGTAACCCGAGCTCCTGAATGGAGCGCCGCCGCAGCCGCCAGCGACTGCCTGTGGCTGCACTCCAGTGCGGGTGCCCAGCCTGGGCGTCTCCGTCCCCTTCCCCCTGCCCCGCGGGTCTGGGCCTAACGGGTTCGCCCAAGACAGAGCCACGGAGGCTCCAGGCCTGCAGTTCAGCTGCCAACCGTCGGTCCCCAACCCCCGCGCCGGTGCGAGGGTGGGGGATGTCTTGCCAGCGAAAGGAGCCGATCGGCTCTCCTGCCCACTGCCCCGGACACACCCTCCTCTGAACTCTTTGCCCATCCAAGACATACCCTGCTCCCCGCCTCAGGAGACACACCCTTTCCCATCCTCCCCCCCTCCTCCGGGCACCCACTGCCCTCCCAGCCGGCTGCCCCAGCCTCTCCACGTTTACATTTCCCAGGCCTGCCCTTCCCCCCCCCCCCCCCCCCCCCCCCCCCCCGGGCCTGGCTTAATGCCCCAGGCTACCCCAGCCTGGTACCCAATCCTGTCCGAGGCCACCCTCAGCATGGGATGTAGCAAAGCAGGAACTTGCCCCAGGCCTATGCAGATGTCCCCTACACCTCTAACCCCAGATGCCCCTGGAGTGTCTCTCTCCACAGCATCCTGAGACCTCCAGGACAACCTCCCACTTTCCAGGTGGGAAACCAGAGGCCTGGTGGGGGCTCAGCTTAGATCTCTCATTGCCCCACAGTGCCCAGAGCTGTCTCTAACGGGAGCTCCTGAAACTGCCATATGGACAGGGTTTTTTTAAGAGACAGCTGGGAGGACAGGCTTTCAGAGACAAGAGCCCAAGGCTACCTACCACTTCCCAGTTCTGTAACCTTGAAAAAGTTACTTGACCTTGGAGAGCCTCAGTTTGCTTGCTAGGCAAACTGGACAACCGCTTTCCACCTCGTAGACCTACGGTGGCCTTGGGCATATTGCTGAGAAGTGAGCTGGCGGATGGAGGGGTGACTTCCCCTGCTCCTGTCCCTTAGGTGCTGGGGGCTCTGAGTTCCTGGGCCTTAAGCTTGTCATGCCCCCCTGCAGATTGGGAGCAGCCTCCTGGAGCTCCCTCGTCCCTTCCCCCTTGCCAGGGTATCTCCCCTGAGGGTGACGCTGACCCAGGTGGTGGGCTGGACCTGGAGGAGTTTTCTCGCTACCTGCAGGAGCGGGAACAGCGCCTGTTGCTTCTGTTCCACAGTCTGGACCGGAATCAGGATGGTACGACCCAGGGATGGGCTGCAGGGGCCCTGGAGACACCAGTGGGGTTAGAACCGGCACTGCTAGGAGGGGGAGGGCCACTTCTCCCTGATGACTCACAAACTATTTTGGGAGTTCTCCTCACCCCCCAGCTAGGTGGTTGGGCCCATGGGCCCATCCCACCTCCTTTCCCTTCTGGGATGCGACCCCTGTTATTACCCTTAAGTTTCTAAGGGACACAGAGATGCCCCATATTGCCGCTGGATTCCCTATGAGGCAGACACCCCCCATAGCCTCTTCTGGGTCCCTAATGTTGCCTCTCAATCCCCTATGGCATAAGGACCCCCATAATTATCCCTGGATTCATTTTTTCATTCATTCATGGAGCAGAGGAACCCCCCCAACATTGCCCAGTTCCACCTTTCTAATCCCAGTGGGTCAGTGACCCCCCCCCCAACCCTGCTGCAAATCTCATCCTGGGTTCCTGGGTTCCTGGATCCCCTGGTCCTCCTAGACCATCCCCATTCTGAGCTGTACTGTACCTGGGCTCCAGGGTCCCTCCATGCACACCCTTTTCTGGTCCCCTCCCCAGGTCATATCGATGTGTCTGAGATCCAGCAGAGTTTCCGAGCCCTAGGCATTTCCATCTCGCTGGAGCAAGCAGAGAAGATTCTGCACAGGTGAATAACTGGGGGTCCAGAATCCCAGGTAACTCAGTTCCCCGGGGGCCCCTTGGCCACCTTGAGTCTCTAGGCCCCAGACCCAATCCCAGGGCAGGTGGAGCTGAGAGGTGGGCTTGGGAGTCAGGCAGATCCTGGACCAGATGCTTCACTTCTCAGAGCCTCCGTTTTCCCCTTTGTAAAATGGCAAACTCTTAGCGCACAGGAAGTCCACCCCCAAACCAGCTGAACCTCACTCCTACACCCCCTGCCCAGCCCCTGCACTGATTCTATCCCTACCTTGCCCTGCGCCCCCAGCATGGACCGAGACGGCACGA